GCCCTGTTAAACGGATAACCGTGTTGTCATGGAGGAAGGAATATGTGAGAAGACTCTCCCCACCAATTATGTTATACACATTTCATTGACCTTGTTCTTCTTGGGGGGGGGCTTAATGTAGTGGTCACTGTAGCAGCTTTTTTATGTGCTGGTTAGACATATAATGAGGAATTAAATGGTATTAACATGACAGAAACATCTCCCCTGTTTTAACGCCTTTTTTGTTTTATGTCAGCTGTTGCCATGGAGACAGTTGCTCTACCCACATTGCCTGAAGCACAGGTTGGGGATCACAGCCTTGATGTGGTTTCAGTCACACTCAACACTCACTGTTATAAACCCCGTTTGCATATGTTTTAGGCACGCTGAGGTTGATTGTGAACCGAAAGCATCTTCGCTGCTAATCATCAGTAAACTTCAGTGATTGCATGTCGTTCTTCGGTCTCCTCTGCTTGTTAGAATCTGTTTTCTCACTCTTACTACTGCCTCGGTCTCTTTCATGCAAGGATGTAACCGAATCTACAAGTGTAAAGGAATAGTTCACCCGAATATCATTTACACATCCTGTCATCCTTCATATTATTCAAAGTGTTAGGCAGAATTTCTGACCTGCTCTTTTTGGCACAAAAAATTGGATGGTGGGAAAAAAAAAAAAAAAGGAATAGTTTACATAAAATTGCAAATTTTGTAAATTTTCATACCAATCCCATATTTTCGTTTTTATGTAAAATACAAGAGCAGAAGTGATTTTAAGATACATGTCAGGGGTTCTGCTTTGAATACAAGGAAAATAGATTTGACACTATGATTTACATTTACATTTAGTCATTTTGCCGACGCTTTTATCCAAAGCGACTTACAATTGGGGGATACATAAAGCGATTCTTCTTAAAGAGGCAAACAGACACAGGAAGTGCTTGAAATACCAAGTTTTAGGCATTGTTCAAATAAGTACAAGCTAGAAAAGGGAAGGAATAAATAAAGAGAAAGAGATGATGATGATATGAAAAGTGATTTAGACTGTGAAACTCAAAAAAGAGCTATTAAAGTAGTCCATGTGACTCATACAACCCATATTCAGAGTCTTATGAAGTCATATGTCTTTGAATGAGAAACAGACTGAAAATACATTATCTTCTGACAGTCTTCCCCTTTTTACACCTCTAAAAAAATGTTTGCACCAAGTTTGATGCCATTGGTGTGAAATGCCACAGGTTTTCTCTTGTCATGTGACAAGCTATGAATAAATGGACAAAAGTGAGAGTTTGATGGCTATACCAGAGGAGACATTATTAGTAAACACTGACACATTTTTCTGACCGTTCCTCACACAAAGCTATCAAATTACTTCAGAAGACTTCAATGTAGCCACACAAATGGTAAGCGCTGCTTTTATGACATTTTAATGCTGCTTTTTTTGTCCTTTATCGAGCTTGGCAGTATAAAAATCACAATCCGCTCTCCTTGTCTGAGAGAATTTCTGCCTCTATTCATGTTTCATGATGGAAAAAATAATATGGGGCTAGAATGACATTTGGGTTTTTATATGATGTTTGTGTATATACTCATATTTATAAAATAAAAATGAAAGAAAGTAAATGTAATCAACATTACTTGGGACAGTATTTGATCAAACAGTAAAAAAATAATATTGTGTAATAATATAACAATTTAAAGTAACCGTTTCCTGTTTTAATATACAAACCCGATTGCAAAAAAGTTGGGACACTGTACAAATTGTGAATAAAAACAGAATGCAATGATGTGGAAGTTTCAAATTTCAATATTTTATTCAGAATACAACATAGATGACATATCAAATGTTTAAACTGAGAAAAGGTATAATTTTAAGAGAAAAATAAGTTGATTTTAAATTTCACGGCATCAACACATCTCAAAAAAGTTGGGACAAGGCCATGTTTACCACTGTGTGGCATCCCCTCTTCTTTTTATAACAGTCTGCAAACGTCTGGGGACTGAGGAGACAAGTTGCTCAAGTTTAGGCATAGGAATGTTGTCCCATTCTTGTCTAATACAGGCTTCTAGTTGCTCAACTGTCTTAGGTCTTCTTTGTCAAATCTTCCTCTTTATGATGCGCCAAACGTTTTCTATGGGTGAAAGATCTGGACTGCAGGCTGACCATTTCAGTACCCGGATCCTTCTACGCAGCCACTTTAAAATGTAATTTATTACTGTGATGACACAGCTAATTTTTCTATTATTAGTTTTTTTTTTGTGGAAACCATTATAATTTGTCTACAGGATTCTTTGATAAATAGAAAGAACAGCTTTTATTTGAAATATGAATCTTGTGTAACATTATAAATGTCTTTACTGTCACAATAAAAAAAATTATATAGTAAAATGTCATATGCGAGACTGTCTCCGTGGCATTTATAAATAATGTACGATATTTGTAAGAAACACGTTATCATAAAAATATGTTTTACCATTTTTTGTGTAAATAGGGATTAAGATTGTGCACACATGTATTTTAAAGGTGTAAGGCTTAAGCCTGGTCTCAGACTAAAATGCATGTCTGGGCTGTTTTAACTGAAAGAAACTTGCACTGACCGATCTTAAAATATGTCAGATTCATTGTTTTGTCTCAAGATGCACACCAGTAATGTTTTTATCTAAGACATATTTCTAAAAACGACTTAAATGTCCTAGTTGAAGTATGGCCTAATTCTGGCTTAACCGAAGCCCTGTCTGTGAAACAAATGCCATAGAATTTTTTTGGAAACTTTATAGAAATTATATCTGATTGTCTCATTGGGATGAAAAAAATGTCAGTTTTAGATTAATTATACCTTACACCCTGCTATTCATAAACTCATAATAATTGACCACTAATTTGAATTTATTGAGACTATTCTCCTTGAATGGTGGTCACAGCTCTGCTTACAGGCTCCTCCTCTGTTTCGCTCTCCTTCTGTCAGTCATAATTCCATAAATTGACTCTTAGATGAAAACAAATCCAAAAACCCTCCCTCTTTGACCTCTTCTGCCTTTTGTCGTAGACTGTCGGCGGACCCTGTTTATGCTTTGGATGTTGTGAAGTAATTAGAAATTGTATCAAGCTGTGAGACTCATAATTACTCATCACTCTCCCTCCTTCTTTCTCACCCTCTTTAGTCCTCTCTGTGGAATGCCATCTGTCCTCCTCTCTTGCTCTCCATCCTTTCCTCCTTTCATTTTACCCATTTAATTACCTGTCTGTGCCTTTCTTCTCATGGGCACCATGCGCTGTCTTGTTTCGTTTCATCTCTTTCATTGCTATGGTCTAATAATTCTAATTTGCTCACTGTATTTCAGTGCATGTGTGAGAAAGTGCTGAGAATGATGGATGTTCTCAAATCTTAAGTGTACAGTCTTCATGTCCTTTTGTGGTCTCGCAGGGCTTGCGAGATTTTCGAACGGGTGTGAGTATGAATAACAGCCAGGAATTTGAAGGGTTGGTTGTTTGATCTCAGTGTGTGTTGGCAGCCATTTATCAAGGATGCTTTACTCTCCAAACACTACATGGCTGTGTGTGTGAGAGGCGGTGTGTATCCAAAATGTGTTGCGTTAGGAAATTTGGCAGCGGCGACAGGCCTAAGGACAAATTGGATTGCACTTCTGCGACATTTGAGGATGGGATTGTGGAACCCCTGTTGGGCTTTATGTGGTGTGTGTGTGTCAAGATGTGGCCTAGTAAGAGGCAACCTGCTGTCTTGATGCCTTTCCAGTAATTCCTTACCACAATGTACTATAATTTCCACAAAATATACCATAGTTACTATTATTGCTGCAAGAAAAATGTGGTAACTTGGTATTAGCCACAACTGTCATTTAAAAAAATTAAACCAACATTATTTATGGTTTCAGTTTTTATGAATAACATACACTTAGCGTCCCATTACATACATTTAGTGTCCCATTAAAGACACATCCAGTTTCCTTTGGAGAGAGAATTGTTAGATAAACAATTATCTATTAACAAAAATCAGTATGGAAGTAGTTTGTTGTGAAGATGTGTACTGTATCTTTTAAATCCATCTGTCAAGCTCAATCGTTCAACCCTGTTACTGAAGTTATTGTATGACAAACAAACATTTATTATGTTAATGGGAACTAAACATGTCAATGGGAACTAAACAATATATTTTTTATATTTAATGTTTATTACGTGTAATCAACAAAATGATGCAGATCTTTCAAACTGTATTCAGTCATGTACCCGAGATTGGTTATAAGGTGGCAAAAGCAAAATGGCATGTATATTATTTAGTTTGACCTTATGAGGTAGACAAACAACATTTCCTGACACATGTTATATCTAACTTCACATACAGGTTCATACAGTACACCCATGTAAAGCAATAAATACTACAGTAGATGTAGCAAATCTCAGCGGCCTGATTGTTTTTTAAATTTTGTCACAAAATGTTACTTTATTATCACCCAGCTCTTTATATAAAATTATGTATATATATATATATATATATATATATATATATATTCAGGGTCTGAATTTCATTTTTGAAAATGGGGGAATTCCCTTCTTAGGTGACTCTTGTGAGAGGGGAAGGATCTTTCACACAGGAGTCCACTACTGATCCGTGGCTGTTTACCACAAACACAACATTTATCCATTATTTTGATTTATTACTTTTTTTTTACACAGTACAGTAATACAATCTTTCACAGACATGTTTAAACAATAAATAAGCAACACATTATTCTATGCTTTTTACTTTTGCATTTACTTCTAGATTTATATATTAAGTTGCTCAAGCAAGTGGCAAAACGTTTAAACTACTATATATGAGTATGTCCAACTTTATCTGCATACATACAGTACACATGTACAGTATATCTGCTGTGACACTAGGGCATCACACCGTGTGCTAAATAAAACTTTTTTTTTTTTTTTTTTCATAGTATTTTAAATTTTTATTGTTCATTAGGATGTAAATTGTGCCTGTGAAACTCTGAAAAGTTTGTAATTCTCATAGCTCAATCCGTTCCATCTCTTTCCTCAGGTCGGTTATGAGAATGCAGGCACAGTGGAGTTCCTGGTGGATAAACACGGTAAACATTACTTCATCGAGGTCAACTCCCGTCTGCAGGTGGAGCACACGGTTACTGAGGAGATCACAGAGTGAGTGTCTCTCTGTCTCTGAAAAAGAATGGGTTGAAAAGTACAAATCGGTCAGTAATGTTGCAGTGTATCTCACTGATTTTATTAAATATATGTTGATTTAAAATTTTTTATGTATATAATATAGTTTTATATAATCTTTTAGTATTTAAATGTTGGCAGGGCAAGTAAAATTTTTCTTTAATTCTTCATCATTCATCTTGAATTTTTTTGTGCCGGTGTTCCTGACTTTTCTCTCAGCCTCACAAAAAAAAAAAATATATATATATATATATATATATATATAAAATGCAAAAGTCATTATAAATTTTAAAAATATTTCACAATATTACTGTTTTTACTGTATTTTTGATCAAATACATGAAGTAGCCATGTGTATTTATGTCTAATGTAAGTCTGTTAATATAAGTCAGTCATGAAAGGACAGCACGTTATCACTAAATGTCTATTTCACTAAGGAGAAAAGGAATGTGATTTTACTTACAGTACCAGACTGTTGCACTATTAGTCATTTATAATAGGCTAAAGCACTTTAATATGTCCCACCCCAACTTCCTGTTTCATATATATATATATTTACACAAATCTGAGTGTTTATCAAATGCATTATGATTCTGTTTTTGACCACCTGACTGTCTGACATTTAGATTCTGAGGATATGCTTTTTTTCCCCGCAAAATAATGACTCCGCTAAATATTCGTTGACATTTATGAAGACATTTTTTGTGGCCAAATGCAATTAAACTTGCATAACTGTTGGGCGATGTTCAGCAGCCCCATAACACTAATTAACACTCAAAATTTGTATTGTACTCCGGCTGTTAAAATGTCAGTGTTGAAAAAAACATGATAATAAGTGCAAGACATCATCATCTTAGACCCTTTGAAACCTGTAAGATTCTCAATGGGCTTGTATCTGAAACGCATCCTTCCTCATTTTAGTAAAAAGCTCAGATAGAAGTGTGCCTTGAGAGGAGGGAAGTGGTTTATCTTTTTCATCCCAGAGGCTAAATACACACAGAAGGAGAGTGAAATGTGCTTTTTTATTATTTTTTATTTTTTTAATATGGGCTAAATTAATATTGTGCTGAAAGGGAAAAAATTATTATTAAAAGCTCAAAGGATTAATGAATGTGTTAGAGTTTTAAGTTTATTCACATGCATGCATGGATACATGAGTACATGTGATTCTGACATTTCTGGACGATTTTCCATCTTTGCTGCTGGTTCTGACTTAGTGAATTCGTAGAGCGTGACTGTGCAGACGTACCAGGGTTCCATTCATTATAATTGTCCATCTTGTTGCATGAAATTGAAGCTGTTAGCTTGCAATTGGCATCGCGTGGCAACCCAGCTGTGAGAGAGAGGCCTTGGAAGCGCATGACTGTAATGAACTTGATTTCCAGCTCTAGCCAGCAGTGGGGCTTGTATGCCAAGACCTTCACCAGCAGCCACCTTCTGTTCCTCATACTGAGTCACTCTACATCCCACCTGCTCTGCTAACTCGCTGGCTTTTACGCTGGTCCGGGATCAAGTCTTCACACTCTGAAACTTGACTAGTCCCATTACACTGTGTGCATTCATGTTATGTCCAATGCCAGTCATTCTCACTCTTTTCAGCATGTGTTTTTATGTTATATGCACTATTATATTAAATTATTATATAAATCAGGGTTCCTACGGGGTTTTGAAAAGTATGGAATTTGATTTAATTATTTTCCATGTCTGGAAATGTATGGAAAAATATTTGTGTTTCCAGACTTTTGCCCCTATTTAGTTTTTTCTAATAAAAAATTAAGAATTTAATGAAAATATATTTGTACAAAGTGAAATTTCATGGCAGCTGTTTAGTGATTCTTTAGTGATTGTCAAATATGAATTTTTTGATTAGCCTATGCAAAATGCAGGTTATAAGCATTTTGGGTTTCTTCTTCTCAATTCTTAGCACTGTATTACATAGCCTTTATTCATAGTGATGCACAAAGGAAATAGGTTATATAAAACTAGAAATTGTAATGCATAAGCATGCAAAAAATTCCCATGTGAATAGATTCTCAAGGGCATGCACACAAGAAAAAAGTTTCTTGTGTGCATGTAAAAGTATGTATTTTTATTATTATTGTTATTGTTATTATTATTATTATTTTAGGGACTTTGTAGGTTGTCACTTTGAGAAAATCAATAATAAAAAAAAAAACCCTGAGAAAATTAAAATATTTACAGATGACTGTACTATATACCAAAAGCTGAAAATAATGCCCTATGAACCATTTATGTTAAATATGGTCTGAAAATTTACTGAGAGGTTTGGAAATTTGAGTCTGGAAAAGTATGGAATTTTAAAATGGAAAATGGTAGGAACCCTGTATAATAGTAATAATAGTATTATTATTAATGTTGGAAGCAGTTGTGCTCTTTAGTATTTTTTGAAAACAGGATTTTTTTGATGACTAGAAAGTTTAAAAGAATGTAATTTATTTGAAGTACAAATTATTAATCGTTATACTATAATTTATAATAATAATAGCAAAGTTATAGATGTTATATTATAAATGTTTTGCTGTCACTTTTGACCAATTTAAGGCATCTTTTCTGAACAAAAGTTTCAATTTCTTTCAAAAAAATCTTTTGAAATCGTAGTGTATGCCATCAACAGTTGTTCACGTCCCTTTTTTAGATGGAAAGCAGCTTTCATTCCAGCAAACAAAATGAATACTGATGATTCTTAGCACTGTATTACATAGCCTTTATTCATAGTGATGCACAAAGGAAATAGGTTATATAAAACTAGAAATTGTAATGCATAAGCATGCAAAAAATTCCCATGTGAATAGATTCTCAAGGGCATGCACACAAGAAAAAAGTTTCTTGTGTGCATGTAAAAGTATGTATTTTTATTATTATTGTTATTGTTATTATTATTATTATTTTAGGGACTTTGTAGGTTGTCACTTTGAGAAAATCAATAATAAAAAAAAAAACCCTGAGAAAATTAAAATCATGACAGATGACTGTACTATATACCAAAAGCTGAAAATAATGCCCTATGAACCATTTATGTTAAATATGGTCTGAAAATTTACTGAGAGGTTTGGAAATTTGAGTCTGGAAAAGTATGGAATTTTAAAATGGAAAATGGGTAGGAACCCTGACAAATTGTATAATCCGAAATTAAGAAATCTGGATCATTTGAAATATTTTAATTATACTGGATAGATTATGTTCGTGACGTGAAAGTTCAAATAGGCAGTTTGTCTATAAAACAAAAAAACTAGCCAGAAACAAATATAATGTATAATACATTGTAACGAATCAGCTCATAGGAAATATGAATAATTAACCATAAGTAGTTATAATTAATTATGAATATTTTAGATTAATATAAACTGCTGTTCAAAGGTTTTGGGTCTGTAAGAGTTTTTTACATTTTTGAAAGACGTTTCTCATTCTCACCAAGGCTGTATTTATTTGATCGAAAAATACAGTAAAAACAGTAATATTGTGAAATATTACAATAACTATTTGAATATACTTTCAAATATAATTTATTCCTGTGACGCAAAGCTGAATTTTCAGCAGTCAGTACTCCAGTCTTCAGTGTCACATGATCCTTCAGAAATCATTCTGATATGCTAATTTGTGTTCAAGAAATATTTCTTAGGTAACACTTTATTTTAAGGTGTCATTGTTACACGTTACATGTACTTACTATTATAATAACAATTAATTATGCATAATTACATGCAAGTAACCCTATCCATATAGTAAGTACATGTAGTTAATTAAAGGGATAGTTCACCCAAAAATGAAAATTCTGTCATTAATTACTCACCCTCATGTCGTTCCAAACCCGTAAGACCTCCGTTCATCTTCGGAACACAAATTAAGATATTTTTGATGGAATCTGAGAGCTTTCTGACCCTCCCATATACAGCAAGGGTACTACCACGAACGACATCCAGAAACGTAGCAAGGAGAACGGTAAAATAATCCATGTGACATCAGGAGTTCAACCGTAATTTTAAGAAGCTACGAGAATACTTTTTGTACACCAAGAAAACAAAAATAATGACTTTATTCAACAATTCCTCTCCTCCGCGTCACCCTGGTACCATTTTAGAGAGTATCCACTGAACGTAAACAGCGTATGCTATTCTGTGTCAGCTGCGTCACGCAGATAATTAGATAAATCCTCTTAATTCGTGTTCCGAAGATGAACGGAGGTTTTACGGATTTGGAACGACATGAGGGTGAGTAATTAATGACAGAATTTTTTGGGTGAACTTACCCTTTAAAGATCTTTGTGGGCAAAAGAAAAAGAAAAAAATATGACTTTATTCAACAATTCCTCTCCTTTGCATCACCCTGGTGCCATTTTGGAGAGTATCCACTGAACACAAACAGCGTATGTTGTTCTGTGTCAGCCGCACCTCACGGATATGTTTTCTACGTTGTTTATGCTTTGATTTGAACGAAAACAATGTATCCATGTGACGCAGCTGACACAGAACAACATACGCTGTTTGCGTTCAGTGGATACTCTCCAAAATGGCGCTAGGGTGGAGACAAATTGTTGAATAAAGTCTTTTTTATTTTTATTTTTTAAATCAAACTCAAGAGGAGAGTTTTGAGGAGTCTTGGAGAGTGTCCGTCTCAAGAAGAAAGGTTTTGAGCGAAGATTAGTCTGAGCTAATGACTTTTGATAGTTAATACCAGGCGTGAATTTTTGAGCGGGAGAAGTTTTCTTTGTTTCCTAACTGATTAATTATAGTCTAAATAAAGAAATGTCTTTATGTGGGTGTGTGTTATGTGAGCATGTTGTAGTTTGCTGGTCAGCTAGGCCCATTGGTGCCTGGTGCCTGGCCCCGGGGGTCATTTACGTCTCTTGGGAATGTGTTTGAAGTCGATGGGGAGACCAGAGAGTTGATCTGTTTACCATCTTCTTGATAATGGGGGAAAGACCATTGGCAATTTAGCACCCATATAACTGTAGAATATGG